CCCTACAAATGCATAGCTTCCCTCATTGTCAACACCACCACCAGAGGGTACATTTGTTACAATTGATGATCCTACATTGACATGTCATCATTGCCCAAAGCCAACTGTTTATAATATGGTTCAGTCTTGGAGTTGTACATTGTATGGGTTTGGACAAATATATAATAACATGTGTCCATCATTATGGTAAAATACAGAGTATTTTCACTGTCCTAAAGATCCCGCCTATTGGTCCCTCAGTGTCCCACCTATTCATCCCTGCCTCTCCCCTCCTCCCCCCCACCCCCGCACCCAGTCCCTTGCCACCACTGATTTTTTCATTGTCTCCATAGTTTTGCCTTTTCCAGGATGTCATATAGTTGGAATCATACAGTATGTAGACTTTTCAAATCGGCTTCTTTCACTTAGTAATATGCACTTAAAGTTCGTCCATGTCTTTTTGGCTTGATAGCTCATTTCTTTTTTTGCACTGATTAATATTCATTATCTGGATGAATATTAATTTTCATCCAGTTTATTTATCCATTCATCTACTGAAGGGTATCTTGACTGCTTCCAACTTTTAACAATTATGAATAAGGCTGCTATAAACATCATGGATATGTTTTTCTGTGGACATAAGTTTTTAATTCATTTGGGTAAATACCGAGGATTTTTGTATTTGATGATCTCTGCATTATATGGAAAGAATATGCTTAGTTTTATAGGAAAACGCCAAACTCTCTAAGTGGCTGCACCATTTTGCATTCCCACCAGCAATGAATGAAAATTCCTGTTGTTTCACATTCTCGCCAGCATTTGGTGTTGTCTGTGTTCCAGATTTTGACTGTTCTAATGGGTATGCAGTGGGACTATTTGGTTTTCCAAAGACTGCTGACCGTATTGCCCATGCCCAGCACATATGCCCTTGGCTATTACAAATTCTAAAATAGCGTGGTTTCCAAGTTCCCATCAATTTCTCTTCATTAACCCTCTGCACTCTGATAACCAAGTTTTGACTAGCAATTGCCTTTACTACTGTCTCTGAAACCTGGAAGACAAGGTAAATATTTCCTAGATTCACTGATTTTTAGCAGAATGTACTTTTAGAAGCTGTATGGGCAGCTGCCATGTGTCATTATGTGTCTCTTGTTTCTGGGCAGCTTTGGGATGTGCTTTGGCATCCGCTTCTACACCGTTCAGTCCACAGTTCAAGCCCTTGGCATCACACTCACACTCAAATCCTCATCAAGATGTGGTCCTTATCGCTCTGTTCTCAGAGGACACCCAGAACTCATTTCAGCACCAAGGTTCTATCATTTCTGTCTTCTACAGTTAAGAGCCTAGAGCCAGGGACGCTATCCTGAATGGATAGCTTTGATATTGATTTTTTTTGTGATTTATTTTCTTAAACAATAGCAGTCATTTTTTTTTAAGCAAACAGACTTGAATTTTTATCACAGTTGCACACAGAATAAAGCTTGAATAAATTGTCCAGAAGGTAAAGGGCTGCATATACAAAGCACAAAACACAATTTAATTCTTTGCATACTTAGATGATTTCAACTTAGTTTTCACATGCAATTTTATAAAAGTCTAATGTAAGAAAGTATGTGTTAAACAATTTATTCCTCCTAAGATAAGACTATTTAAAATCTCTTAATCACTACAATTTTTGTAATGCCAGAGAAGAAAAAGAGAAATTATAAATTTTTAAAATTACCCAGCAATCCCATTGCATCATCTTCATTATTAATATCTTCTGTTACAGATGGAGTCGGGCTGTGAATGGATTCAAAAGAATCTTGAGAGAGCGTTGCTGCCAACAGTTTCTTATGCTTCTGTTGCTATTGTTTTAATCCCTTAGTCTTGAGTTCAGCCTTGAAGCTTCCTGCAGGCCTAGAGCTGCTGTCTTCACTTTCCCATTGTTCAGTTTTACTTCTTGAAATTGGGGGCTGTAGCATTTTAGCAGCTAGTGGGTCAGCATCGTTCTCTCCTTGACCTATCCATTTTCCAATCACACAGGGTCTCAGAAGAGAAGTAAATGCCACTCTTTCGTTATCATGTTCATCTGAAATTGCAAGACTTCGAGACAGACACTTAAGGGGGTTCCCAGCTTCTTGCTATCTTGAAGGATGTGCTTCAGTTCATCACAATCACGGCTTTCTGGTTTAGTCTTC